TGAACGGCTGTAGCCGTCAACCAATCAGAAGCGAGACACGCCACAATACATTGAAATCGCTTGAAAGACTTTATCGCTGTACGTGAGCCGCTTCTCTCCTCACAGTTTCAACAACTTTATCGCTGTACGTGAGCCGCTTTTCTCCTCACAGTTTCAACAACTTTATCGCTGTACGTGAGCCGCTTCTCTCCTCACAGTTTCACAGTTTCACAGTTTTTTCTCTCCTCACAGTTTCTCTCCTCACAGTTTCAGTTGATGAATAATCAGCGGACAGAACTACTAATGAAACAGATAAAAAAGCATGGCCAATTTGAGCACTTCCGCTTCCAAACACAATATAGTACCGCGCAGTCTCATACTGCACTTTACTGCCAAACGACAGCTTGAGATAGATGGTTTATTTGTGAATATTGCTATTGGAAATCATCGCGTTACCGCGGCATAATGTGTTTTATTTCACCTGACGTACGGTCTAAATTTGTAATAATAGAAAGCATCAACATTTTTTACAACATCAGAATTTCATTGAACTTTTCTGCTCCTTCAACTTTTCTGCCCCTTCCCATAACCGACGCCGCGTTGCCGCGCTGAATCTCCAGTGACAATCTTTGGCGTAAAAAGTTCATGAGAACGGACTTCCCCCGTGTGTTGCTCGAGTCGTTTGCCCAGTGCTTTGATCATGGCGATAGCGGATGGCCCCCAAGGGCCCATTGTTTCGAAAGCTATCGGTGCAAAGATGTATCTGCCACTTAGGTACAAATAAAGCCGGGAATTCTTTTCTTCCGCTTCCAACGCCGCTGCACCTGCGTTAGCTGCCGTAAACTTGACGTGGGAAGGCGCAACCGTGTCGACACAAGTGACGTCCCATGCCAAGCACATCCCTCTCTGCCAGGCGAAGTTTGTGCAGCCATCACGACGTCGTTCGGACGTATGCGATGTGCCACGCGGCTCCAGTTGTGCCGGAATCCTAGCTGACACAAGGGATCGGCATAAGATGCTGTTCAGCCCGCCGTGTCGTGGATGTCTACCAGCAGAGAATGTGCAAGACAGACCATGGTGCCCGTATTTACCGACATGTTTTTGGCACTTCATACAATCATGATGCTCACATATCGCAACTCCCAATCTCAGACCTACGGATATTTTAAGAGTATCGTCGTCCAGAAGGTTGCCAATGTGAGCAGAGGGTAACGCATTTAACCAAATTCCGGTCTCTGGCCTTGACTGTGCAAGAAGTCGGGCTTTATTAACTTCATCGTCACGGTAAACTTCCAACAGCGTAGACAAAGAAATGTTACATAGCGGCATATCCAAAGTCTTTTGTTGCTTTCGGAAATTTGGTTCCGGCAGACCAGGTAGTCAGGCGTTCTTTTTCCACAAAACAAGAGCTTCAGGGAATTCAACAGCAGCATGACCGGGCAGCAATGAGGCTAACAATTTGAATACGGAGTGAATCGAAGCCAGAAAGGCTGGGAGTGCTAATTCCTCCGCCCGACGTATTCCGATACCGCCCCTGCTGACAGGAAGGCTAGCCTGTCGCCAGCACGGGTAATCGTCGTGACTTGTTCTGACATTACAAAAGGTTTGGAAACAGGAGCGCATCATCTCATCCATTTCATACAGTTTATCTGGATCTCCACGCGTTGCAGCATCTCAGCATGTAAATGACTTTCGGCGCGCCGAGGCAGTGTTTCAGGAGATACAACGCAATATGCTGTGGTAGCAGCTGAAGCCGTTCAGATACTCCAGTTAGTGTGGCAGCTTTCTCAGTGAGCGATGAGCCAATCGCGTCGTCCAGCACAGGGGCTCCAAGTAGTGTTAGAGTAGAGCTCGACAAGATACGGAGCTGTGGGTGTCGAGCAACAAAATCAGCAATTATTGCTTGTTGAACGCTAAGCGGCCCTCCAGTGACAAATAACTCGCACTCAGCGATATTAACGTCCAGTCCAAGCGAGCCTGCGTCTTCGGCAATTCGGGTAAATTTTCCAGCACGCTTGCTGGAGATCCGCCTAAAGTTCCGTCATCTAGAAACCAAGCGTTGAGCTCCGTGGTTAAGGTAACGACCAAAACCTGCAGAACAAGACAGAAAAGCAAGGGACCCAAAGGATCTCCTGTTGTACGCCCCATTCAGATGACCAAATGTACTGCTCCAAAAATAACGACGAATGGTATCCGTACGCAGACTGTAGAAAAGCATCGTACTCCGGGAAGTGTTTGTGCACGGCATTAAGCACGGCTGCTCTGGACACGGTATTAAAAGCATTATGCATACCTCTGCATACCATTTTATCTGATTGATCATCTGCAATTTGATATGGCGAAAAATAAATCGAAAAAAATGGAATGGAATGGAATGCAGAAATCGTGTACGATAAGTTAGCGCAGAACGTTTTTCTAAGGTCGCAAGACGCCCATCCCCATCGGAGTGGTCCCTTTGCACTTCTGGGATAATGAAGGTGGCCTCGTCGGACGAAAAGATCGGGGTAGGAAGTCAGAATTTTTTTATTTTTTGATAGCTGGGGGATATTCTTGTTGTTGTTTTTAAGACAAAGGCTATAAAACACAAGACGATAAAGTTCATTTAGGCATTTGCACATAGAAAGTGCGAAGCCAAAATGTCACAAAAAAGGAATAATACCCGCAGTGCCGTTTCACAAACATACACGCCTTAGCCTATTTATAGAAAATGTGGCGATTGCGAAAATTACCAGAAAGCCCCCAAAGAACATACAATAATGAATAAGCTAGTGAATCCTAAGTTCCCAACGACTCACGGTAGGCGACGGTTTAACAGCTCGAAAAATCATTACAAATTTCGGTAAGTTCTATTTGAAAATCCGGTGTTTTGTGATTCTGTGCGGGATCGTCAGTAGGTTCAGCACACCGCCAACTGGAAGAGGAATTGAAGCGTCAGCCACGAACAGCTTCTCAATCTGGATCTTCTTCACACCCTCCACACACCACTGCCTCCCGCAGTAATGCAGCAAGCGACGCGGATCGGCCGACTGCAGCGCACACAACACCTGCTAAAGCCAGCATGTCATCCGTGCTGTCGGTTGAATTACGGTTGTGTTAAAGTCATCTGTCTCACCTTGCAAAGAACCTGCAGAAGTTCTCGTCGCTCCGGCTCCGCAGTAGCTCCCGCCAAAAACGTGGACAAAAGGTACAGCTGCTCACCGGTGGGTGAGCAGTCAATCAGCCCCGCCACAAGCGCCCTCCACACCGCAGGGGCGACATCGCCTGCGCACGGAATACTCTGCGTAACTATTATGCTAGATCAATAATGGATCCAGATACAGTGACCTAAACGGGGTATATCCTGTGGAATGAGCAATGCTGAAAGTATTGCGAACAGCGAAATAACACGCGAGATCCGCTCAGCTACTTTCTTACTTTATGACTGAAATCAACACTGAACAACACTGAGCGAAGAGCCCGATTCAGCGGCTCTCGCATGCGCACTAGGCGCCGTCCACTAGACATAAACAATGAACGGCTATAGCCGGTCTGCCAATCAGAGCGAGACACAACACAGACACGTAATCCGGTGGCGTAGACTGGCGAGGGTGAACGCCAGTGATCCCATCGCTCACATAACGTTAAGCGGAACAGGAAGCCTCAGATCGCTGTCTCGCTGCATGGACCAAATCATGTGCTCTAACGTGACGGTGTAGTCTGTCAGCTGGATACGTCCACAAGGGAGATTGCAGCTGGCGCTCATGAAACCGGCCAGATTGATGCTGAAGTTGCGAGACGAATCACGCGGCTGATGCAACACACACACGGACGGTTCGCCGTCGGATGTAGCGGGTGGCGACCATCAGACTGAATTCTAATCGATGCAAATGAACCGCTTTAAATCGGATGCCGGAATTGTGCTGTGAAATAAAGTGGTCTATGTCCAACGTTTTAAGGACGTGGCTGCCTTCGATGCAGCGTCCGCCATCACTGAGGACACACGCTGCGTTGACGCGGAAGAGCGTTTAAAGACGGGAGCAAGGTGACAATACATCAGCCACGGTTCTTTGGTACTACGGTTCGCGCTGTCCAGAGATTGGCTGCTAAGGAAGGCGATTCCGTAATAGCGTTCCACACCGCGCAGTTTCGTCTGCGTTAAAGTGTCCAAATACGAGAAGACTTCCAGATACAGTACATCTACACTGACAACGCAGCGACCTCGTCCAATGTCGAAGTTTTGCTCTTCGGTGAGATGACCGGCGGCGAATCTCACTTCCGGGAAATGTAGGGCCCTAACTTGCTGTGGAAATTGTACAGCGCTTCCTGCAAAACAGCGCCATGAGTAGCCAAGACGGTGTACAGTTCCAAAATTCAAGAACGTGAAAAAATCCTTACGAGCTCTTTGACGGGGCTGGATCGGCGCTGAATGTAGACGACACAACCGTTCACCACAACCACGCTGGCCGCTTGCGCAGGCGAATGGAGGGCCCGGGCGCTACCGCCTCCGGGAAAGTGTTATCCGGCAACGGCAGACAGCGCCTAATAAAGGTCTATTGTCGCATGCGTTCGGGCAGGAGCTCGTTGACGGGCTGTCCTAAGCGAATCCGCGTCAAAGGAACGACATCCATATGCTCCCTTGCTTGTCCCCAACGGACGACCGCCTCCTTGTACCTTGTGCTGCGTGGTAGGCTAGAAATCTCGCCGGGGAACCATGTCCACTGGAATGACGCACTCGCCCGCATCAGGACCTCCATCGGTGGAGCTGGCGAAAGCGGCGACGCGCCGCGGCAAGTTTCTGTGCGGCAGCGGTTGCTCTCACTCAGAACGGCGCAGTCAAAAGGGATGAGTTCACGGCGACGGTACGGACAGAGAAGGTCGGCAAAAAGCCCAAATTCGCCCACGTCCACGACGTACCGGTAACGGAGAATGTCGTCATGGTCCAGTACGTCCACTCTGTTCCCGTTGGCCATGCTTAGGAATTTGGCGCTGTCGAGCAGAGAAAATGCCAGTGTCGTTTGGAATACCATTTGCAACGGACGAAGCGCTCAAGAACGATGCAGACAGCGAGAACCGGCGAATCCAGGATCAGGTTCCAGGTGGCGCAGACGGCACGCAGCCGCGTCTGCGTCACCTTGCCGAAATGGAAAAAGACTTCCCGCCACAATTCCTTCGGCAACGCACGATAGTCTTCCTTTCCAACCGCCTCTGTTGCGCGTCTGCGCACATAGTTAGATCGCCTCACATCTCTTAGTACGAGTATGTCCTGAAAATTACACAATAACGCACGATTTCAAGTACGGATTGGTCTAGTTTTGTAGGAGCATCGTATTGTATTGCAAACTGTTACAGTGCCGCCGGTACAGTACAGTAAAGTAAGCCAAGGCCACGGCACCGAGTCTAGTACGCAATATTGTAACAGCTGGTTTGACTGCTTTTCTAGCGGGTAGGCTAATCCATCCATCTGTCGGCTGTAAGTGTGGAAAGGCTGGCAAGGTCAGAAGCGATGCCGACCGGAAGCTGACTACCGTTCAAAGGGTGACAGTGATGGGAGATGCACGATCACCCCAAAGTAATTAAGCAACACAGCACAAGGTCATCGCAGGTTTTTATTAGCAAGAACCGATAGCAAGAATCAGCGAGAAAAGCAAGCTGAGGAGCAAGAACGCATAACCTAAGACAAGATGCGCGGAAAGCGCGTAACAAGATCGGAGCTGCAGCAAATCTAGTTTCTAGATGTTGACAGTCAGATGCGGTCGGTAAAATTTAGAAAAATAAAGAATCTGATCTTCATAACACAACAACCAATAAACAGTAGAGAAGGGCAAGTAACACTTTTGCTGGCGGTACATCTAATTTCCATCGCTACAATATCTATAATTCAAAGTATATCTGCAGCTCATTGTCCAGTAAAGCTGTGAACAATCTGCATCCGTTCATCCGTCAGTACTCACAGTCTGTGACTTTTCTACGAATAGTAATCTCGTACGAGTAGCTTGGGCCTGGAAACTCTGCTTCGTTTTTGGCTAGATTCTTGTACCTGTACTGGTTATGGTCTTCCTTTACTGATTATCAGTTGCCGCAGATGCTGGTTCGTCGTGGCTGGTCTTCAGCTGCCCCAGTACCGCCTCATATAGCTGATTATGTTGCGCATTTGAATAATTTCAGTCAAATTCGGATCTCAATAAGTACCGTAATCATCGGTGCAGTTTTGAAATGAATAATAATTATAATGCTGTCACATTGTAGGACTTTCGCACTGCACTGCACTCCGTAGCCCGCTGTGCTCTTCTTCAGCAGCTGAACCTCCTTCTCCATTCGTATTCTTCTAATTGGACCGCAATAACACCGTCGACGTTCTGGGCAGCGATCAGCAGATGCGTCATGCGTTCGTAGTGGAAGCGGCAGAAGGTGGTCTCTTCGTCTATTTGCGCTGTCCCCACCGGCGACGCGAATACGCGCCATTCGGCAGCATCTTCTTTAAGCGCAGACTGGATGACAACGATCTCTGCCGTTTTCGTGCTCAGCGGCGGTCCGACGTTCCGGTGGAGATTTTGGTGCCGGAGACGGCATCGAATCCGTGGATATGGCAAAACGGTGATATGAGGCTCATCCCGCGACAAATAGACGACGGGACCGTTGTTCATTGGCAGAATCCGGACACGGGACTGCCCTGCACCAACTTCGTCTCCGTTGAGCGCGTTCGTCTGCGTTTGGATGTGTCAACCCGGCTACAACAGATAACGCACTGTAACGTGCTGAAGGAAAAAGATTCGTCCCTATGGCGACGTCGGACACCTGATATTGACCGTTTTCTCCGCGCGTGTGTCCGATCAGGCGACTTTATCAAGAGCAGCGTGTGGCTGGACTAACCATTTCGCTCGCTGTCTGCTGAAATGTCTAAAACGCTTATTAGGCGAGTAAACGGCAGCGAGCCTCGGCACCGGTCAATATTTGCGGTGGACCTCGTGGACGACGAGCTGAGATACGGTTACCGGGTACACTGTGCTGAAACATCAACTGCCCAAAGAGGTTTTGTCGTTCGAGCAAGTAACTGGTGTTCTTCAGCTGGACACTTAAAAACAGAAATTTTCGTAACCAAATATTATTTGCACAGAAACCCTCCATGAGGACTGCATGCACAAGGACTTGCTCAGGATGGTGCAGTATTTCCATGACGACAAGTCGGAGCAGGCCCAGACCCTGGACGGCGTCACGCAGATGGTGTTGCCGGTAGAATTGTGGCAAGAGGTCTTATCCCACTTGAATACCGTGAATCAGACGAAGCTGTGGGCCGTATGCGCAACGTGGAACCGCATCATGGATACGCCAGCACTGCGTTTTAGGATGCAGCGATGCCCGGCATTTTCACCATCTGTCCAGTATCTATCAATGCTTACGCCCCAGCAAGCACCGTCTTAACATAAGCCTCGACAAAGCTCTGTGATGGTTCACGAATTACGCGGGATTGTGAGCGACTTGATCTAGTATGTGGCTGCGCGCCAAACCGACTGCGCACCGTGCATCTGCACCGCGTCCTGGTTCACTCGACGATTGGCTGCGGACACGATGAACCTGACGCTGCCGAATGCGCCCTGCGCCCGTTCGCATCGAATTCGAAGGATGGCATTGGTTGTCTGCGGGGTTTCATTGCCATATGCCGCCTGTTCCCATGCGATGTGGTAGACCTAACAAATGGCGTCATTCATTTGGTCAGCTCTTTACTGTAGTGGCTCGCACATCTTGCACCACAGAGTTGGTGTACGGGAAAACCGTGCATCCAGTATACACACTCTGACTAAGTTATTTCAACAGGTGGCAGAACCGGGTGGGTGTGGGCACTTCCGCGTCTATACGAAACGCGAAGAATACAGCCGGTCGCCGTCCGGTGCTGCGAGATAAAACTGTTAGGTCACGAACTCGAGCTGATCGAACAATGCGGAGTTTGAAACAGCAATAGGGCAATGCCGAGTATCACTACACCTAGGTATACCTGAAGATAACTGGTTTATCAAAAGGCCCAAAAATGAAATACGTCAACTATGCCTTCCGAGACATGCACCAGTGTGCAAACTATTTAAAAAAAATGCGGATGGCGACTGCAAAAATTCTCATAGAGCCGCGACAAAGGCAACTCACAATGAACCAGCGAATCTTAACGAGTCAACGCCGTCTCGACAGCTTGACGAATCACGCAAGATTTCGGTAAGTCCTGCCATAGATTCTAGCATTTTATGATCTTCCGCGGAATTACCAGCGCACCCAGCACACCGCTACCTGGAGGAGGAACCGCAGCGTCAGCCGCGACAGTTTCTCATTGAAAGCTCTTCACTCCATCCAAACACCACTGCTTCCCGCGGAAGTGCAGCGATGACGCGGACCGGCCGACTGCAGCGCGCACAACACCTGCGAAAGCCAACACATCAACCTTGCTTTTCGTTGATCACCGTTTCGGAATGTCGATCTGTCTCACCTTGCAAAAGACCTGCAGAATGTCTCGTCGTTCCGGCTCCGCTGGAGCTGCAGTCAGAAACGCGGATAGAAAGTACAGTTGCGCCCCGGTGGGTGCGGGTAGCCCTGCCTCCAGCGCTTTCCAAACCGCATTGCCGATATCGCTTACACCCGGGATGCGCTGTGCACCTGAAACTTAATTTGCTCTCTCGCTGCATGGACGAAATCATGTACTCCAACGTGAAGGTGCAATTCGACAACTGGAAACTTTCAGACGGGAGGTTGCTGCAGGCGCTGATGAAACCATCAAGATTTATGCTGAAGCTTCGGGATGGATCACGCGGCCGATGCAGCACACGCGCGGACGGTTCGCCGTCGGGATGCTACCGTGTTGTAGCGGGTGGCGATCATCAGACTGAACTCCAATCGATCCATATGAGTCGTTCTCAGACGGATTCTGAAATTGTGCTGTGAAATAAAGTGGACCATATCCAACTCTTTATTGGCGTTGGTAAAATCGCAATATACGGTGATAAAACCCTAACATACGCTGTAACAACACCGCCAATGTCGCGAAATTCAGCTATGCAGAACAAAATGCGGAAAGACCGGCTGACGAAGATCTCCAACATAATCTCCGGCGGATGGGAATTGTTGGACGAGCTCTCCCAGTCGTACATTCACCAACACCAGTGAGACAGGAAGCCGCAGATGCGGCCATATTAAAAATCAATATTTTGGCAGCCCAGGTAAAGCAAGCCGAGGATATCTTTTCCAATCCCATCACCCGGACTCGGCGTCGAACTTGAATTCGCAAAAGACGAGAGAGACCAATAGGAAGTCGATCTGGAACAGGTCGGAGACCAATACCGACAAGCGGAAGGGGTAATGACCGGCTGCAACACAGCAACCGATCTGTACAAGCTACCCGGCCTCAACAGCCGGACCAGCACAGCCGAAAATATTGGACACTAGCGACTGACCTAAGTCTCCGGCTACCGAGGCCCGAATAAACAACGCCATACCGGTCCTGGGGACTCTTCCAGCTCATATGCCGCCCGAGACAATCAGACTAACGGGTGAGCAAACTCATCACGGAAATTCGAGCGCGTCGAAACTTCAGCGATTCCAACAGCCAACTGGGATTATGAAATTGCTTACGAGCCCTTCACGGTTTTTTTTACAGCGAAAGGGGCGCAAACGAGTGGAAACTCCGCTTAAGTCAGACACGTTTGCCGCTTAAATTTCAGAAAAGTGTTCTCCGATTACGCCGCCTTAGATTCTTCAGTATACGTTCCTTGGCTAATGAAATATCGCACCGCACTACCTACATTGACCCCGTCGGTCATTACAGTGAATACGTAACTACTGTACATATAGAAATATAGAATTATATAAATATGAAATGTAGAATTATATAATATATATATATAATATTATATATAGAATTATATATAAATCTTGTATCTCTATATACAGAACTGTACTTTTTAAACAAAATAAAACAAGAGCATAAAATAAAGAATTCATAAGTTAATTACAAAATCAATTTCTGTATTGCGTTTTTCCATTAACTATAAAATGATATTTTAAATTTATTTTGAATAAACGCAGATTTATTTTAAATTTACTTTAGCCAAAGCCGCGCGTCGCCAGAGCTCATAGCGCGAGATGCTCTTATTTTGAATAAACGCAGATTTATTTCAAATTTACTTTAGCCAAAGCCGCGCGTCGCCAAAACTCATAGCGCGAGATGCTCTCGCCCGTAGCCAATTCGTTCAATTTATGTTTTCCATATTTAATTTACTTCTGCGACAAGACGGAAAAAAATAGAATAAGATTGGAATGTAAACATTAGAATGTAAGAGAATGGAATAATGAAGCATTATGTCTGTTTCTACGTCATAGCGCAGTTCTATCTCAACGGTCATGTTTTCAAGAAGTATAGGTGCGTAAAAAATGCTCCGAATGCACCGACCACCGCTAGATAAATAAAACAGAAGCAGATGCACTGCCAGCCGCGAGTCCGTGATTGAATTTTTTTCCGGAATTTAATTCTGAATTACGCCGCTTAGCAAATTCCGATTTATTATTCCGGAAAAAATCATTTACATTAGGTAGTAGCATATCTGGTCTCGTACAACTTGACAGTGTATTATTTACTGATAAACTTTAAATTTGCAAAGGCTTCTTGTTGTAACAAAACTTGCAGAATGGGCATTAATCACGATGAAGGAAAATCAGTAAAGCAGCGTACATGGTAACATGCTGATAGCATACTGAATAGAGAAACATAGACTTACTAGTACATACTTCTACCGCATTCTGTATTCCTACCGCCAGTTATCCCCAGCACACAGATCTGATCATCTGCTGTATTATCGATCTCCCAGTCCATAGTCGCGGACCCGCGGTAAATATAGGAATGTAGGCTGGTAACTAAACCTACTCCCTCGTTAAGCAGTTTTGACTTATGATACGGTATACAGCGAAGTGGCGCATTTAGTGGATCGTAAGGGAAAGTACTGGTTGGAACACGTTCATAATTTCTATATTGAACTGTGTAATTATTTTTCAGGTAATCTGTCTTTGAAATTTTACAAAAGAAGCACTTTTTATAAAAATTAGATTTTATTTTGGATTTTACAAAAGAAGCATCCTTTCTTACTTATTTTAAATTTAAATCCAGTAGTAAAATAACTTGTACATAAAACAGCATTACGAAAGTTATTAGAGAATGCCGAAATGGTTATAACGGCAAATAAGCTATGCTACCGTAATTCCAGTTCAGTGTTCAGCATGCACGCTGAAGGCATGGTGCAAGAGAACGGTTGTTGCACGTTGTGACATGTTAGAATAACTGTGTTGCAGTTGCTGCGCCATTAGATATCGATCGAATTTTATCGTACACTCAACCGCATCCCTTCTTCCTTTGCTTTCGCGTTGGGCCGTGCAGAGATGGGGAGTGTTATGATTGCTCATTTACTTATTGTCCTCAGACATCCAGTATAAACAATAGCTAGACTCGAAAGGCACTTTAAATGCGTTCTGTACGATACAGAGCCGGAAGTTCTGTAATTTTCGATCACACCCCCCTACCTCTGATTGGACGGCCGAGTTAAAGTGTTCTGTATCTAAAAGGAACTCTCCTGCTCCGTTACGATACAGAACTCGCATTTTTCACCACAAGTGCAGGTCGATCTCACCAAGTGTATGCAATAACAAAATATTTTCCCTTGCTAGTTGCTACTTGCTACCCTTGAACCCGAACATCTTTTTAGTGGTTTTCTGGTTTTTACCTGGTTTCTAATTGTCTTTGTCTAACTTTCTTTAAATCACTAACGCCTGGCCCAACGCGTTCCGCGCTCTAGGCAACCACAGTCTTCGGATGATACAAGTTCGGCCTTTAAACATACAAGTCTATCAGTCTATGAGTGATACTTCTAGCGCTGATTGTTCCAGTTTTGACATCACTGGATCCGCAATAAAACGTTACACTAGCTAAAATTAAAATAAACAACGCCTATATCGACCATCTATTTGTGAATAATCATTTTGTGATGTGAGTGCGAAACTCGCTGTACGCTGAAAGTTTCGACCACATAACTGGAAAATTTTGAGTTGTGGTCTCGTTGCTCTGTAACGCTCTGTAAGATTAAGCGCTGTGCCATTGGTAGATTCACTTTTACAGAACTCCCGGCTCTGTATCTTACAGAACGCATTTAAAGTGCGTTTCGAGTAGTACTAATATTAGTATCACCCATCCCAATAATTTTCTATTTATTCGAGATCGTCGTAATGGTTGGACGCACTTTGACCAGAACCGTTTTTATTATTTCCTTTTGAGGGAGCAGTTGAACGAGTCATTCAATCACTGATTCCGTATTAAGATCTGATGTGTATGTTAGGCAACAGTCCGTACAGAAGTAGTAAAATCTCTAGATAAGTCTGCGCCATGACTTCCTCGCCTTATCCTGCTCTGGCACCGAATTTCACGCCAACACCGCTTCTTTGCCGCGATGAAAAATATAATGGTTTTTTAGTAGATATAATTAGCGACACAGGAATTCTAATCCGAGGACATGTGTGTGACATGAAGGCCGGACATTTGTCCGTCAAGACCAACTTCTGGGACGAGACCGGTTTATGGATCCCGTTTAACCGTTTGATTGTGCGATCACATGGATACCTTTGGAACGCAACTTTAAGCCTTTTCGCCTGGATGACCCAACGCCCCAGCGAAGCACTTATCAGTCTGGGCGCCAATCATCCAGCCGTATGGCTACCGGCTCGCGAGGTAAAAATGCACTTCTTTGAAGGTAGCGTTAACCGTTCGTGGTGGTTGCGACATGTTCGAGTAAGCGTCGATGAAGTGATGCAAGCCGAATATCTCATCGGGGAGGACATACGCTCTCTCGTGCAGCAACGCTACCGCTACCGCGGATTTCGGAGCCCCAACGTCACTCACCAAACGTTTCGCAAGACTGCCATCCGGCTTGCACCCCTGGTGGCCCTAACGCTGCAGAAATGCCTTCGTTGTCGAGATTTCCACGCATACTGGCTAACTTATACGGGAACTCTCGTCACAACCATAATCAACGACAAAATGCACCTCCTCAGCCGCGGTCCATTGAGTATGTGTTCACAGCGGCAAATTAACGTATTTATTCGCGCTGACGCCTTCGAAAGGGTTAACTGGGCTAAATCGTTTTTTCCCACGCTGACGAGCAGACTGCAATCAATTCTATCAAGGTCGTTTTTCAGAACAGGTGAGTAGTGTTAAAGTAAGCCACCATTTCGCAAAATTCTACAAGAAATTATTGTCCAAAAATCAATATAAATTAGTTTGCGCTTTTTATTTAACGTTTACTTAATACAATTTGAAGAAAGAAACGGCAAAGCCGTAAAGTAGAATTTTTGTGAGGCCCAACTAAAAAAACGCATTCTGCGAATGTAGGTACAGTACTTAGGTCTGGATTACACCTATGGCACACTTCGTACCACTCTATAAAATCGGCCCCTTTTTTTGTTGATTATATTCCACGTATTCTTATGTATCCCACACGTATTCTGTCTGTATTCACGTTATGTTTTCCATTATTTTGCTTTTGCAAGTACTTCTGACTACGTTTCCACTGCTGTATAATACCGTATTCCCACGTATTCTACCCGTATGCTGTCCGTGTTGACAATGTATCCTTAGGTTTCTTAGGTTTTTAACTTTTATCTAGAACAACAGGGAATACGTGGTGAATACTGACTGAATATGTGGGAATGCGCTAATATGCTGGAAGTAGACAGCAGTCACAGATGTTAGATAAGCCCGTTAGGGAATACTTTAGGGATGCAGCAGAATACAGGTAGAATAAGTGGGAATACGGGCACACTCCACAGATATATTAATCTCGCCACTATGATCAAGATACTCGTACCTCTACTCTTTAGCTGTATTCCCACGTATTCCATCTGTATTCTGCCTGAAGTCCTACTGTATTCGCGAGGGATTTCCATTATATAGCTAATTTAAATATGACTGCTGTCTTCTTTAGTGTGTCCCCGTATTCTCCCGTATTTTGCCTGTATTCCCCATGCATTCTTTGGTTTCCGAACAAGAAAACTTAAAATTTGCCTTGAATTTGGGCAGAATACAGGTGGAATACGTAGGAATACGGCAGCCCACTTAGCGAATACAGATATCATACGGTCGGCACAGGGAGGAATACGAGGCGAATACAGCACGAATACAGGGAGAATACGTAGGAATACGGCAGCCACTTAGCGAATACAGAAATCATACGGTCGGCACAGGGAGGAATACGGGGCGTTTACAGCAAGAATACAGGGGGAATACGTAGGAATACGTAGACTACTGTAAAGAAATGATATGGCCGGTTTTACGGAGTGGTACGAAACGTGCCATATCTACTGGATTCAGCTCTGCTATTAATAATTTGCGTACTAAATCAGAAAATAAACCGTGTGAAATGCTTTAGTAATTGAAACTGTTGAAAACGAACGGAATGCCAACACCTTCGACGGCAGTTATAACCGCCTGTACGTTTCAACATTTACTGGGTTTACTTGCCTAAAACTTGAAAATATACCTAGGATGCTGTAAATCGTAGCAACGAACGCAAGGCCTGGCTATCACAGTGAAAATTTAATTGAGTTGAACCGGCAGTTCCACTGAGAATTTTGCGAACTTAGATTGTCATGAGACAGCGATGCTGACGATCGACGACACGCCTCTCAAGATACAACTTCTCATCTTTTCTTATCTCGATTTCTACGACCGCACGTTGTTGCAAAGGTAAACATTTTTTCGCCAAAGTTATAATTGTTTTTCCTGCAAAGTTCGGGTTTTAACGTTTACAGGGTTTCAAAAAACTGGAAGATGTCCATATGGTCGGCAGTCGTGCGCCGGGATACAATCATACCGCATCGCTATTATCGGCGCGAGTCAGCCCATGATTTAGCATATCGCATTCAGTTATCCATGACACGGAATACCACAGTCGCATATCTAACGGGACACTGGCGGGATGTCGTCGGTCCTTTAGCGCTAATACTTTCTTACATGTCCATTGGATTACACTGGCTGGTTATTGCTGACAACGCCACCGTCTGCGCCAGGGAATTATGCCCTCTTAACGGCAGGTTACTAATACAGCATTTGCAGCAAATCTGCCGTCGAATTGCTTTGAAACGATGCGGTTTCCATCTTGTGCCTGGCGTATTTAACTTCACCTATTCGTTTGCCTCTGAGTGCCCAAACGACTTGCAGATCGCATTATTTAATCACCTTAACGAGCTGATCGAGCCAGTAAAAACAAGGGCGTATATTGAAATACTGTCCCAAATCGCGATTTTGCACCCCATGACCAAGAAGCCATGGTTGCGGAAGAGCAAGTACCGGAAGACCCTTTGTTCCTGTTTCATCCAGTAGGTGTTATAACTGCAGGAACAAGTGAATTAGTTGTGTTCTTCATCTCTTCATTTCTCCCACTTATTCACTTACCAGAAAAGAAAGGTTTCTAATATGCGGTGAACTTGTAAGAAATCACAAATCGTAAATTGCACCCTTTTTTCAAAGCAAGGCATCCGTACTCTATAAATTTCTTTTTTATTTTTCCAAGTATCTTATTTCATTGGTTCTTCAATGTTGTCTATTTCAGGTGGAGAGTACCGCCACCACAAAGTATCAAAACTTTAACTGCAGATTCCCTGGAAAAACTTCCGCGGAGAAATTTAGTGCTTCAAAGTTTATTACGGTGGACAGAGTCGCAGAGAAGACCGGAGCTCAGCTGGAATGCTAAGCTATGAAGACATGAGATAAGCCAACAATACAGGAATCCGCGATTAAAGAAAACGAAGCCGAGTTTTTTAAAACTGAACTGGCAATGTGTTAACCAAGTTAAACAGCTTGGTCCAATTTAAGAAAAGTAATAAATCAATCTTTTTATGAAATAATACTACAAAAACATAATTTGAAGGATAGTACTCTTATATGCGCTGGGACAGTTAGCGCACAAGTTAACACCTTTCTCACCTTATGGAAGATGGATGTACAGTATATCTGTAAGTTCGGAAATCTTCAGTAATCGGACTCTTCGTACGTAGTACATATATTTTGAACAGCCGGTCACCGGCGCCGGCTGCCGATTCCTTTGGTCAAAGTTTTTCGGCTGAGACTTGTAGCCGGCAAGAAAGTTAACATGTTCACGGTTCACGGTGAGAGCATATGTATTTGACGGGCGGAAATGCTCACAAAATTTAATGAATCGTGCAGTCTATATGCAGATTTTTTCTGCAAAGTTGCAAATATTATTATTTCAGAAAATATTGTAAAATGAATTTCCGTTGTAGAAATTGCGCTTTCGGGGAAAGAATAATTCCTTTATCTCTTTCGCGCACGACACAACAGCCAGGACGTCAACTACTCTCTCCTCTCTCTCCGAGAAAACTACATAATCTGAGTGCCAAAATTTGGCTGATAACTATTCGTGCGCGCAGCATCCGGTTCAAGATATTGTGAATTAAAGCAGAAAAAACTGTGTTTAAAATCAGTTCTATTCTTAACTAGAACCAAATACAAAAATTAAAAATCCTCTTTAAAAGTTTGGGAAAGTACACGAACAGGTTTTATTCAGAATCATCTCCGTACACACTTATTACCTGCAGTAATCACAAGAAGAAAAATCAAAATTTAATCTGCTGAACATGACTGATCGTTCAACTTTTTTAATTCAATATACTCGTATTAAACTATTTGAGCACGCGAATGTCGCGCGTACGGGCGATTTTGAGACCAATATGTAGATTACTATTCTGGTTGCAAAATAACTTTATGATTTTTAGCACGGTGCAGGTAACCCGTAAGTCAGGTGTGTTCCACATATCCAGCATGAGAATTTAATACACGCCAAAGAGGCCATTACTCCTAATCGTAACTTCGGAAAACGTTTCCACAAACTGACACAAAGTACTAGTTTCTTTCATAATTTTCTGTAACCAATTTCCAGTGTAGCGCGAAACGAAAGTATATAGAACACGCTGTACTGTGATCATTGTGATGAGTGAGATCTCTGTAACTACAAATGTCAGAATTCATCGGTCATTCGAAGTAAAAACAACGAACACCCCTTTATTGCGTTGTACACTAGAGAACGTTAGCATTGCGCACTCTTCCGCGGTGCACACCGTATTTAGAAGCAGCGATGCTCACGTACTAAGACAATGCGGAAATCGGATACCGCTAACATTTTCCGGATACCGATTTCCGCATACCGATTTCCGCTAACACTTTCCGGATACCGATCCGATACCGATTAGTAGCGCTGTCACTCTATATTTCGTATTCGGTCGGCTCTGCCGGAGTGTAATTTCGTGTCCGGTCGATTTTGCAGGAGTGTACTTTCGTGTCCGGTCGTTTCTGCCGGAGTGTAATTTCGTATTCGGTCGCTTCTGCCGGAGTGTACTTTCGTGTCCGGTCGTTTTTGCTGGAGTGAAATTTCGTATTCTGTCGCTTATGCCGGGGTGTACTTTCGTGTCCGGTCGTTTTTACTGGAGTGAAATTTCGTATTCTGTCGATTATGCCGGAGTGTGATTTCGTGTCCGGTCGTTTCTGGCGGAGTGAAATTTCGTATTCTGTCTACTGTATACCCCGGCAGAAGCGACCGAATACGAAATTACACTCCGGCAGAAACGACCGGACACGAAAGTACACTAGGGCAGAAACGACCGGATACGAAATTACTCTCCGGCAGAAACGACCGGATACGAAATCACTCTCCGAAACGACCGGGTACAAAATTACTCTCCGGCAGAAACGACCGGATACGAATTTACATTCCAGCAACAATGACCGGACACGGATTCACTCTCCGCCAGGAACGACCGGATACGAAATTACACTCATTCGTTTTGTTTGCGACTGAAAGAGCGAAAAAAACTGGTAGTGCAAAATTTACGGCGGTCGTTTTGGCGGCCCCCGGTCGGTTCGGACGGTTTGGAGGCTGAAACGACCGGCGGTCGTCTCAGACGACCGGTCGTTTGGGACGGTTACACACGTGACTTGCATTTCTGGTCATACATTTCGTCCTTAATTTTTATCAAAGTTTTAATGTCGTCATTCATCCACGGCGGAGATGCACGTTTCATACCCGGGTGCGCACAGGGAAACATCTGTCAACCACTGCTGAGGCATCGTTTACAAAATGCTCCGCAACTGCATTTATATCACTCTCTTCATCACACTTGTAACGCCGCGCGTTCTCTGTGCACGTGTACTTGTATACATACAGTACATGTGCGGAATATACCGGAATCGGATCGATCGATTATCGCATCGATTACGTCTTCAAGGGCGCTATCCCACATATCCGATTATCCGCATGTATATTCCCTTATCTAATCAGGCCGAAGTGCCGATGTGAGAACTGTGTCATTAAGCGTCACTTAGCGTGCATGTTGTATATGTACTCTGTACATGAGTTACTACCGTCTTAATGGAAACTGGGTGTGTTAGTGCAAGTGTTGGCATTTTATGACTTTCCATTTTATCCTGTGTGTAGAATCGTGGATTTTCTCTTATAAGTCTAATGCTTTTCTCAGTTGTGAAGTCAGTAGCGTTTTCTCAAGTTTTGCTTTGGATGGGAGTTTAACATAATCGAATCTTTCTTGTTGTTGTGTTGTTAGTAAAGCTTACAAAAACCCCGTTGTCACCGGCGTATCTATGTGTACACGTTACACTGCAGATAGAATAGTTACACAGAGTAATTATCGATCCATCTTTATTCTCTCATTTCCCTGCATGGAAAAACGTTATCGCGCAGTCAGCAATTACACACAGTATCCATCATGTGTAAAGACTTACACGCTGATCATTTCGTTTTACGACTTCACTGATTTCATCCAAGAATTTGCTATCCTCCGTATAGGATTGATGTTACGCGAGCAAAGAAACTTATCGTCGGGTGGACTATGGAAATGCGGCTAAACGTCTTCTTGATAAAATTCTAGCCGTTAATCCTAAAATTCTCGAAGCCAGTTCTGTATGTTCTTTCAAATTTGTACTCAGATCTGTTAATCTGTCCCAAATGTTTTTGTTAGCAGAAAATTGTTTTTGTTGGACCAGACCTGAAGTCCCTTCGGGGTTGTCTGCTCTTGTGCCGTAGTAATAATAATAATACATACAGGTTGACATACTTGCATCCGTTAATTATGCAAAGGCATACGCAAAGGATAGGGCCCGCTACGGCCAAGACTCCAACTCTGACTCGTCCACTCTACTCAAAGTCTGACTCTGATTCTGAAGGTTTCTTAGTTTCTTAATAGATTTCTTAGGTTTCTTAGGTTATTCTTAGGTTTTTGAATTTGAATTTATTGTCTTATGCATCGGGACACGGTCCCCTCAAAGCATTTGACACTCGAGACAAAAGGAACAAAAGTAAAATTTATCAAAAAGAAAAAGTTTTCACATTTGTTAAAGGTCACTACACGTTTACGTGTTAGATGCTCATATTTCGGCAAATAAAAACATGCAAAAACAAAGTGGAAGCAGTCGTCAAAGTCGTTCGTTGTCAGTACAAATATTATACAATTTAAAATTTAGTACAACAGGTCGGTATCGCAGTTTTCATGGTCCGCTGCAGCTTACTCCACTGCAGTTTACTCCAGGTCACTCTGTCGATGGCACTATGCACACTGAGCTGGGAAGCAGAGGATGGGCATTCAGCTGCTAGATGAAAGATCGGGCGTCTTTAGTGGACATCGAAGGGAATTGCCCGCCCAGAGCCACACTCCACGCGTTAAATTCGTTTGATTCGACGCTATCCAGTCGCGCAACGTCGTCGTCGGGCGCCCAAACATGCTGCATGGGCAGGATGTCCGTGAGCGTCAGACCAGTACCCGGACGCTTGTAACGCACAACGGCCGCTCCATAATCCGCGAGATTTGTACCGCGGCCCATAACGCTCATTTCGCCATCCAGCCAAATCCGCGGACCAAACTGCGTTTCCGGCACCAAAATCTTTACCGGGACGCCGGACAGGTACCGATCTGTTCGGTGGAAAGAAGACCGTCCGACGTAAACGGGCCAGGCATCTCGGGAGAAGGCGCATATTCCCGTCGCCGGTTAGGTTCCAAGAAATCGACGACGAGGCCATCGTACTTTTCACGCCCACGACACGCCCGTAGCGCACCCGTTGATCGCTGCCGCGCACGCGTACATCGAATGCACTCATTCTGCTGTGCGCCGGGGATAGCGTTTGACAATGAAATTGGAAACGTCGATTCTGTGCCGTAAAGACTGACACCACCGTGTATCGACCTGAACACTATTATTCGCAACCTGAGATATACAGAATAGATGCACTGCACAATAATTCGTTAGCAAACAACGAGTGCTATATTTGTACCAGCAAACTGCCAAGCTTCTGCTGTAAAGGCAATGCGCAAGTAAAAATATGCAGCGGAAACAACGGCACTGAGTACGTGGTGGCGAGTTACGTTCTTTAAATACGCCGAAGAACGGTGTACGTCATACAATGACTCAATAGGTCTGCTCCCATTTGAAGCCGTCCTTCGTACGAACAGTTTTTATTGATTACTGCAGATTATTGCGCCTGTGTATGTTGTTCTACCGAGAAGTAAAAGGACTTCAGCAGTTGCTGGCGGCCTCTCGTATTTTTAGTTTTCTAGGAATACACCTGGACAATCATGCTAGCAATTCAGAGCCGGTAAAAATTTTAAGCGTCAACCGAATTTTGTTGTTCGTACGGTAGAGCCCACAAGTGTACTAGTTGTGCTTCTGATGCGAGCTTTACACGGAAGAATTTGAGAGCGCTCTTTGCTCCGATTAATCGGACCACGACAGCAGAACTCCGTTGCCTATTTCGCAACCACATCTACACACAACCGCGGTAGAATGTATCGCGACAACGCCGTTTACGCTCTGGGCAGCGATGAACGGATGCGCTACGGCAAGGTAGTGGACGTGGCAGACGATGGTCTATACGTCGATCTCTGTCCCAGTCGACGGCTTGAAATCACGCCGTTCAGCAGGGCCTTTCTTCTTCATCCAAAGAGCTCTGAAGATCTGGTGGAGATTCTGGTGCCGGAGACGCCGTTGTGTCCCTGGGTTTGGCTTCCGGGTGAGATGCTCAACGTGGGAAGTGAAAAGTCCAGCGCGTCCGCCCCGTTCACGATGCAGATGACGAAGCTGGACGCCGTGATTGTGCCCGCCGAAGTTAGTTCGTCAAGCGCAGTGTGAATCTCGGTCCGGAATTTCACTCACTGTCCGAAGAAAAGGCCGCGGCGGTTGTCAATCGCTTGAAGAGCTTTTTTCTGTGCTGTCAGAACTCGAAAATTTTTGGGACAAACCTTGTGGACGGCCAGTTAGCCTACTTTCTGAAGCCGTATGGTGAAAACGAACACCATTTTTCGGGGAGACGAATTTTTTACCACTACAAGTATACTGTTTTGCATGGCTACTTTGCTGCAGTACGAAGTCAATCGGTTCCATGAGAAGTCGATCCGCATGATCAAGTCACCTGCTAATGCGAAGAGAAAAACTGCAGCAACCACTGATGCCATGGGAATGGCGCTGCCGGTGGAATTGTGGCAAGAGGTGTTTTCCCACTTGGACACTGTGGAGCAGACGCAGCTGCGCGCTGTGTGCGCGACGTGGAACCGCATCAGGGATGTACTGCGCTCCACTGTAATCATCCGCAAGGA